TTCAAGCACGCCAAGCGGTTCCTGCTGCAACTTTTGTGTTGCCTTTACCAACGTTTGCAGTCCTACGAACAAGCACGATGTGCTTTGTCGTTTTGTTGCGTCTGACGGGCTAGACTTAATGAGACTCGCAGAGATTTGTCTGGATTCTGAGGTGATTGACCAGGAAATCAAACTAATTGGCCTCTCATTCTTCCGCTGCGATAGACTTTCGCCTGCCCTCGGAGGCGTCTTACTCTATATCCGGTCTTCTCTATGTGGAACACTTATGAGCGTCTACTGAAGCGACAAGGACCTGTGTGCGCAACTGGGGGTGCTCGATCCACCTCGGATCAAAGAGCTAATCATGGGTGCATTTTATCGCAGTCCCACAAGCCCCCTCAACCGTCCCCATTTTCTATTCATGGGTGATTTTAATCGTCCTCGAATACGCTGACGTGAAGTTCAACTCATACTTGAACATTGTGGGTTCGAAGCAAAGTCCGTCTACTTGGAGCAGCGCAACACATGCAAGCCGACGTGTGCAACGCCGCGCTCAGCTCTGTCGTGCCTGGCCTTGATGTTCACAAGCTGTAAGCTTGTGTATAACAGTCAGATCTTGGTGCCCCTAGTAGAATGCGACCACTCAATGCTCATAGTTATCATGGATCTACATTTACCATATTCCCGTCCGTTGCAGCCGGCTTTCAGCTACTGGAAAACTGACTTCAACGGTTTCAGCCACAAGCAACATCGTCGGCAGTGCAAATGACACAAACTCCTCCTCTCCGGCCCTTCCAAGGATTACGACGCAGCGAAATATTTGAAGCAGCACATAAACGAGCAAGCGCCGGCATTTCGAAGAGCCGCCTCGAAGAGAACCGTTGCTTGCGTGAAGCGGCGCCTAAAGCCGGCAGGTTATCTGCCAGTGCTAGATAGCTCGGACTGACAGCCCCTAACCTCTAGCATTATGCGTGTATCCGCCTTGGCGGCGCGCTTTGCTTCCCTGTTCGCAAATAACCATGTGTCTGTACCGATTTCCACGTATACAACGCTTGCCCAACGGCAATCTGGGTTTTGGAATTGAAGAGGTACGTCAACTACTCGCTATCTTTGACAGCGATAAACTTGCTGGCCCTGACGGTCTCCACCTGCTGATTTTCGGGTCTCTATTGACCATAATCTCTAATGACTTTCAACAAGCCAATGTCTGAAGGTTCATTGCCGAGCGACTAGAAATGCTTGGTGGTAAGGCCGATTCCGAAAGGCGATGACTCCAGCAAAGTGGACAACTACAGGCCAACTTGTTTGACACCTAATTTGGCCAAGGTTACCGAGAAGACCGTAAAAAAACCGTCTATTGCAGCTGCTCCAATCAAAAGATCTGACGCTCGCACAGCGCGGTTTTATGATAGTCCGCTCATGCATTGCCAATTTGCTATTGACGAGGCATGCATAGTTGCACTTAGTGAACCAGCGGAAATCTGTCCACGTAATCTACATCGCTTTTGATAAAACCGTGCTGTCGTCCTCCACAGTTGATTGTGTGGTGTTGGTGGACAAATGCACCAGTGGATCCACAAATTTCTCATTGGTCAAAAGTGGAGGGTACAGATCGACTGACATCTGACTGATATCCCTCTACAAATGGCGTACACATAGACAAGATGCTGAAGACCACTCTGTGCCTTATCTACCTCAGCAATCCACCTCAGCTTCTGCGGTCGCCGTGGGCCCTGATTGCGAACGACATGAAGATTTAGTGAGCATTTAGCACCCTTGATGACTGCGGCCTACTTCAGCATGACATCAACCATCTCTCTAATTTGGTCTGTATAAGTAATCTTCCTCCCGTTCAACCCAGGCAAGTCTGTATTCATGAGCCTGGAGGAAGGTGGTGACGGTCAACTGCTATGTCCTTCGCCTTCCGTGAAGTACCTAGGCATACTCTGGTGCTGTGATTTGAATTTCGTGGACAACATGAACTGGCTATATGGTAGCGGGCTGCGCATGCTTTAAGCACTCAAACGAAACTTCTGCACTTGGTCTGAGAAGCTCGCCACTCATCTCTTCTCTATCATGATAAGACCGATATTGGAGTACGCTTCACTCGCCTACTGTCCAACCACCCGAGGCGGGGCACAGAGGATCGAACGGGTCCATCACGTCGCTACCAGGGTCACGCCGAGTTTACGAGGATTGGTGCGAAAACTAGGACGCTACACCTTGTCCAATCGTCGAGTGCGAGTCGATTTCCTTGTGACCTACCGAATATTACATTGCTGGTGACGTCTTGGAACAAGTCTCCTACTTCATTTATCCAAGGAGCTACATCACGACTGGCGGCGGTATTGGAGATGATGTCTCACAACTGATCGCAAAGGCCCGTCTTGCATTCATCTGACTGAGACACCTATGGCATCGTCGCGATGTTGGTCTCAACCTGAAGAGCAGGGTGTACATTGTCTCTGTCCGTGCGGTCCCCTTGTACGACTGTGAGACCTGACCCAGTTGCTCGGAAGATATGAAGCGATTGCCAGTTTCTGGCAATCCTTGTCTGCATAGAATTGCTCGCGTGTGGTTGCGACATCACAAAAGCAACCTGAAACTCTGAGACCGAGTGCTCAGAGCAAACAGCCCATGCCTCCAAAACGTTACTCCCCAACACCGCATGCATTGGCTCGTCCACATATTACACATGCGAGCCTATCATCTTCCCTGTCGAGCGTTATTTGCGCTGCTCGGAAGCGATTGGAACAAGTGCGCGGTGGACAACGAATGAGATGGATAAGATGCATGAAGAACGCAACCTCAACCGGTCCGCCTTCTAGGATTGGGATCAGTTCAGTCGAGTTGATCAACTATGATCCGAGCACTGAGCTGCGGTGGATTCAGTTACCACGATTCTCATCGCCAGAAAACAATAAGTAACAGCGGCAAAATATTGGGTTGAATGCATAAAAATGCATGGAAAGTGCGTTAAATTAATCAGACTGGTACGAAAATTAGCAACCAGATGCAAGAAATCAAATACAGAAACGCCACTGACTACACTATGTCTGATGCGGTCTCCAACTATTGGTGTGGACCATCCCGGGGCCCCCATCCACAAAGACGACACGCACCCGCCTGATCAAGTCTTACAATCAATTTCTTCATGCCACTATGGCACGTCAAGGACTGGTCACCTCGCGGTTTCACCCAACTTGTTGTAGCCACGATGTATAATGCACGTCGAGGAAGCCGGTCAATGTACATACGGAGAAAACGGCCTAGCCAACGTATGTGATAAATATTCAGTACACACTACAGTGAGGAACCAGAAGGCTTCTTACCAAAACCAACTGGCGAACCTCAGCATTTCTCACGCGGTGTTCCCACCAGACGTGAGCAATACTCCGCAAGCGCCGGTGGTCAAACACGTCCAAAGGTTTCATGCATTCGTCACGAACTGGCCAGATCTCTGATCTAAACAATAACGCTGACGTTATCGCAGCGTTATACACCCTATCTTTCATTGACAGGCTGTTATCCCGCCGTCTCCATAGGTGGTTGATTCTTTAGAAAGCCACACAGGCCATATATATTATATATATATATTATACACAATCTGTGGTACAGATATTGTGCCATCGGAATCATGGCATACCGATATGCGAAGTAAATTCCTCACTGATATGACCACCAGAAGTGACACAGCTGCCAACGTAAGAGAACCGATCAACCACTTCCAGTGGCTGTTCGGTGATAACCAGAACCGGAGGTGTGTCGATCCAGTCTTGAAGCAATACTTTGCACTTTAAAGATGCAAAACACATGCCGAAGCGTGCAGCGCTACGCATTAGTCTAAGCAGCAGTGTTTGCATAACCACTGCATCAGACCAAAGAAGAGCTATGTCGTTGGCATACTTCAGGTTTATCTGTCGGTCACCTGGTAGAACTTCCACTGTGATAGAATGAAGGAACAGAGTCACTCATATTCATTTCAATAACAAAGTTGAATAGGAAATGAGATAGAACAACCCTGTCGAACCCCAATTGTCGTGGATGGGGACCACGGGACCCGGATTGCCGGTAATTAGAGAGACGCTTGTGGTTATGGCGCGCAACAGACATCTGTGGCGACTGTGTTGTTCAACAGCTTCAGTTTTTAATGTCTAATCGAACAGAAATGTATAAAAGTCTCCAGGGAAGCTCAAAATGGTGTGTGTAAAACCCAAAAGTCGCTTTTCTTCGACTATTGCATTTCGTTTCCCTCTTCATGATACCGACGGAATATATATATATATATATATATATATATATATATATTGCATCTCGGTGAAATCCCTATGCTTCACCTGAGAATGCTATGCACCACTCACTGATACCGATACAAACTTGTGGTGCCAGATATAAGACGTTACCCGTCCATTGTGCTTTGAACGGAGAGTGGTAAATGTTTGTGCTCAGTCTGCCAAGACATGCAGTAGTTCAATACCTCGTTGGATTTTCATTTCACTCTCACTCGATTTATAAGGCTATTGCACAGAAACCATGAAATCTTACATTTGTGGGTTCAGTAGAACTGTAATACAATTTTAAATGTTTCATAAGACGTTGGAGAGCAATGAGCTTACCACACGTGACAGATGCACTTCCTAACCTTTTTGCTTAGATCCCGATGGAGTTTTACAGATATATATTCCCACTTGTTCCCACTACAATTTTCAGTAATCTGGATTAGAAGCTTCGGCTAACACCCCATTGGTCTCGTGTTCGAGTCTCAGTGCTGATATCTCTGCCGGATGAGTGCACTGATGTACGAAACCGATACTTGAGTGTTTCGTTTATTCGGTTTTACCCAGCCAGAGCGTAGTACTATGACTGGCGTAGCATCATACTCAACACCCAGCATTACATTCTCTTCCCCTGGTGCAGCATAACTGAGCAAATTGTTCTATTTTGCTGTAGCCTATTTAACTTTTTACTCCTCTTCTTTATTTCTTTAGCGCTTCCGTTCCTTTCATTTCTCTATCTTTCAGTCTGGTTCACTCTGCTACGGGTTGGCTTGGTTATCTCGTTTTGTGATTTATCGGCCGAGCGACCCTAACCGCTGGACCGCAGTGGCCGCGTGGATTCTCACACATCATGTCATTTCGCCTCCTGCTGCGGACTCCTTTCTGCTGAAGGAGAAGAACAGATCGAAATCGTTTCCCCACTTCTGGCGTTCTTTCATCCAGGCAGTATCCACAGTTCTAAGACTTCGGTTGGAAGCGCCGATCAGTCCCGTAAGTTTTTGGATGTTCTTTTCTTAGCTCCTATCGGTTTCAGTAAAAGTGTGACTATTGCCATTAGTGTACCATCAAGTCATTCACACTAACTCGGATGCAGCTCGTTCATCTAACTTCAGGCTTTTTTATCCAAACAGCGGACTGGACTGCATAGTTGACACTTTTATCGTGACAGGGACTACGACTTTACTTGTATAAAGTGGGAATACTTATTTTTCATGCGTGTACTGCTCTCCGTTGCTTTTTGAAGCCAGCAGCTTTATACATTTTTCGTCTTATTTTCCACGGTCTATTTGAGGTTCGACTATCAAACAATGTTACTATTATCCACTATAAAGTAAATATTTACTGTAGGAGGTTGTTTTGCGTCATCAACCATCTTCCTAATCCCCAGCGAATGTGTATTGAAACGTTCAGTCATCCCAGAATGGGGCTTCTGAGTGGTGCCATGGTGCCATCGTCACCTAATATACCACATTAGTCTCACGTTCATCAGCATCTGCGCTGAATTGCTTACTTCTCTTTTCTCTTATACACTGCATTCTTTCGCCTTGCTAGTTCTATTCCCAACGTATGCCGCCCTTTGTTGGTGTTTACTGGTTTTTGAAACCGCCAGCTTTACAGCTGATGGCTAATGATGGTCTGTGTTTTGTTGGCCGGGATTGACGAGTATGTCGATCATCCGTTTTTCTTTGAATTCTCCCTCCCTGTTGCTCGCAGCTATTCGCCAACATTGTCTCCGAATGTGCAAGACACTGGATTTTTATTGGCCCTCCTCCAAATCTTCCGGAAAGTGCTATTTCGGTGATGCTTTTCTCTTTGCGACGTTCCGCTGCGATGTACCCTCACACTCCGGATCTATTGACACATTTGAAACTGTTCTCTTCGCTTTATCTGCCATCTGTATAACTCCATATCTCTCATTATCAGGAGCTCTTCATCCTTTTCTTTTCTTGATCAACCGTGTTCCCCGCGCGATTTACACTATCTTTTATCGCATCGCTGGATTGCGCGACCTTTTACTAAATGTTGTGTTGCACCACGTTACTCCGAATTGGTGGGCAAAAGATCTGCATCAGCAGTACGCCGGTACATCGTGCCGATTCTTCGCCGCCACCGGTCGCACGATGACTGAGCATACGTCGGGTTCGGTCTGCACCTAAGCGGGTTCGAGCCATTGACCCCTAGATTACAAGCCAGCTGCGTAATCCTTTCTGCCACCGGTTGACGTTAAGGGTCGATTTTCTGTTACTGTTCTCGACCGTTTAGGTGCTGTCTTCAGCTATGCATTCTGAATTCCACTGCCGAAAGTTAGTAGACCTAAAAATACTGAAAGCAATCTGAGACGCAGTTTCTTCATGACTACTACGTCTGCCTCCCTATCCCATCTTTCTTAGGAGACTGACCTATCCTTGTTCTATCCCGACTCGCACTCACTGTCGGCTCACTTTATGACTGTTGCGCGGTACTTCTGCCTTTCACCGTGCACCCTTGTATATCCATTGGCTCTCGAAAAGCTACCTCCAAACATGGAACCCATTACCATATGTCCTTTGTCACCTATAAAATTGTCCGTCTACCCTCTATGATATTTTCCAGTTGTCCTTCCTTATCATTTTACAACCATTTGCGCTCGTTCAAGGTGCTCCTGTTCTCCCTTAATATCCAAATAAAATCTCAGTTTCACATTTAAACCTACTAAAATAACGGCTACACCGAGTGAGCTCCGTGCCGTGTTTTGTTTGAGCATCCTTTTCTCCATGACAATGAAATTGCCCACTGAACCGAGTAGTGAGATGAGGATGCCGTTAGATGGTTTTCACACTCACTTATGACATAACATTGCTGATGAGTGTCGTTCGAGTAGCTTCTCATACGTTGTCTGTTATTGCAGTGGTTTGTCCGCTACTGGTCATCTTCATAAACCATATAGTTTCTGATTTATCGAACTGCATGGCACTTGATTTCAGAAGGTTTTGAATACAAATCGGTTTTTTGGTAGGGTTTTATTGTGGCAACGTTTCGCCCTTGACACAAGAGCTTCTTCAGGCCAAGTGAATTGGTACAAAATTGGCTTAGCTTTTTATCGGAAGGTTGCAAGACATAGCATTAACAATTGGATAATCGTGTTACAGGTCAATAGGTCAAGTGCCATGCATGGCACTTGATTGTCCTGTTCACTAAACGGTCGAACCACTTTGGAAGTTCTAGTATCCGATGAGATACGATCCATCTTACCTGTTGCCTATTGTTCCAAGAACCATGTTGCTCGCGCTGTGTCACTTCCACCCGCATGCAGCCGTTCACGGCTTCGTGGCGACTTGTGAGTGTAGAGGCAACTATAACCCGACCATGTTCACTCTTAGCATGTTTACTGCGCTCTTGTTCGATCGAAATCTGTTAGGCACACACTGATGTAATTTCCAGGGAGGTATACTACAATATACCGTGTACTGTGTGGGCTTATTGATAGTTCTACGTTCACAAGTACACACGTGTGCCCAGCTCGCACCTGATTGGTCGAACGTTTGTCGATTGATCGCTGATATGCATCACGCCTGTAAAACGTAGCCAGAGTACACGGTTACAAGTGCGTCGTGATTTCGTTCTGATTATACCGTTCGTACGTGTCCGGGGTACTGCTGCTGAGGTCGGGTTGCGGATAGTCCTACTGTGCTTACTGGGATACAAAACCGTGTAGCCCCCAATGCACTCGTTCATTTATTATTTATAAGTTTGCAATAATCGCAGATTCGCTATTCATAAGATGTTAAGTCATTTATACGGCACAAGCTTTCTAAGTCCTATTCAGTTGCGCCGGGTTTTCTCTGGTTTCTTCTCATCCTCGCGCCCTATACCGTCTGCCGTAGCTCATGTACCTACACACGCTGTTTTAACGTTGTGCTCGTTCCACCCCACGCCTACCGCCTATGGTGCCACGTGGTTCCGGTCAGCTCGCGTGGATGACATGTGATTCACCTTCTGACCACTCTTCCCTCGTCGCTCCGTTGAATAACTCTCGTTGTGCCTCGTGTCGTCAGTCTATACCTATTGAGGCCCGCGTTGCTCGCTTGCCGCTATTCGGTCGAATCTGCTCCCCTTTCGTCTGCTCCCAAGCTGCGCTCCATTCGCGCTAGTCGGAATAAATACAGCTTTGTCCTCTCAATCGCCGCGATTGTTGACGGCTCGCGCGCGCGACATTTGTTTGGTCTCTTGCTGCCTCACTCCCGTTCAGCAAAACGACTGGCAGCCATTACGCATAGGACGGTCGCACTTTTCTAGCTATGTGGAAGTTATACCACTGCTGATGCTACGTACTCCATCTCCCTCACTTATTTTCAGCAACATTTCGCTGTTAGCAATCAGTGGAACAGCTTCCGATAGATATGTAACTAACCAACATTCGTATCGTGAACATCTGTATTTGGCATTCTAGCGGAACGGCTAGCTCACCTTGATAGGTCTGTCGTATACTGTTCAGCCACTGATCACTGCTGCCGGCAACTATTGCAATTGCACTGTGATATCGGGATGATAATTTGTTGACCGAATATTTTAGCTTCGTGTGTTGGTAGACAACAAGGTAAATGTTTCGTAAAGACAACTTCGTTAAGCGTGCTGCAGCTATATGTGGTATGCGTCCGGCTCGGAGTCCCGCATCAAATGTATGAAGGGAGTCGCAATAGGCCTGTGAGTTGGGATGCAAAGCAAATTCTTCGTGTGTTTTGAGTACCACCATCGCTCCATTTAATTGGCGACAAAGCTGAATAAGAGAGTTTCTACGCAATATCCCATAGATGGATAGTTGGGACATTTATAACCGAAATTAGTCGTATTATTGCCAGGGATAAAATACGAATGTAAGTGGACAAGGAAACAACGGCAGTCTAGACGACCCACATCAATCTCTGTCGATATTTTACGTAACCACCTCCAAACTTTGTACATAATTTGAGGGTTCAAAATGCTGGATACACGCAGGCCCGTGGTACACACATGGTAAGTGATTTTTGGAATATGCAAGTTCGTAAGAGGCGATTGTGCTCCCGTTTATATACTCTGCTGATATAGGTGGACGATGTGCCTTCACACTTCGGTGTATTTTCGAGCACTCGCAGACACAAAGAAAATACAGAAAGGGATGTGGTAATGTATCCAGACATGACTTGCACATCGCAACAAAAAATCTAGTATCACAGTATTAAGATTGAGGGACACCTGATAAGATTGTCACTGGCACGGTTGGAGCACGCCTACGATAACGGCTTCGAGCGCAGGCCAGTCGCACGGATTTGCGCTGACGTGATGACGTTAGCTTACCTCGGGGTACGCGCTGGTGAGATGGAAAATGGAGCGAACATGAGAACCTTCCTAGCCGCACATATTCAGGTAGACGCTGAGCCCTCGTAATGGACGAGGCTACGCACACGAGAGAGGAGGTACGGTAGACGCGCGGCTATCAACGCACACAAAAGCACGTGACCCGACCGACTCCCAACTAACGGCGAAGAGAAAGAAAGGTAAGTGGTCCTCTGAAGACTCTTTTACGACCAACAAAGGGCGAGTCACAGCCAGTGCTATGGGTCATTAAGTTAGTGAAAATTGCTACCACGATGGGGTGGTAGTTTGCAAGAGAACATTGTCAACAGGTGCGCAGTTGTACCGCATCTCGGAGTGGCTGCAAACTGCTACATTGTGGGGAGGAATTGGACTCCGCTTTCCACAGCCATTACTTCGGAGCTTTTGGCGCTTTTTTGCGGGGATATTTGACGGGCCCGCAACACAGATGACTAGTTTGGTTAATCATCCTTTTTCACGGCCTTGTCTCTTTGAACAGTTTCCGTGCGATAGTTCCATTGTTTGGGTTGGCAGCACGACATATTCGAGAGTTGAGCCCAGTACCACGGGCGTATTTGAATAGTTGCCTGATCAGTCAATGGCTGTTCTACAGTCTCGGAATGACAATACGACACGTCTGTTAACCAAGCACTGGCTGAGCCAATTGACATCGGCGTGTCTGAACAGCTGCTAGCCACTTTAGTGTCTTGCTCACACCACCGTCTAAACCACGGGTTCTATATGTCGTTTCTTTTCTATTAACTCCTATAGCCAGGCATCACAAGTGATCGATGAACTGCGGCTGAGTGACCGGGGTTAAAGTCTACACGTGCGGAAGTAACGTTAGCTTGCGAACTCAATAAAGGCTCATAGCCGAACTACTCAAGGACTACGGACTATAACTAGCTGGCAGCACGCAAACGTGTATTCTGGCCAGAACAGGTACAGAGCCTCGATCAAGTAACTAAAGCCAAGCCAGTTGTGAGTGGCTAATCGATAGATAGACACGCACATGGTCGATTCTGGTGTAAACACGGATTGGGTATGGTGACTCACCCCATACCGGTCATCCCAGTAAGACAAATTTCGGACACAAATCAGACCACAAAATATTTGACCATAGTCTTACCTACGTAGTATCAGGACGGTTTGGAATCTACTTGAATTGAGCGTGAACAGTATGTGCGAACAGCTAAAAACACCAGTGCATAAATCAGGATTATACTGGTTTTTGAGTCACTGAATTCACTTCGAAGTTTTCTCACTGTGACGGCTAAGGGCACAACAGTCGGTCATTCTCGCTGAGTGAGTAGTCGAAGCGTAAGAACCCGAAGTGCAAGCGGAATTGTTTACTGTGCAAACATCCTAATACTAAGTGCATCCGTTCTCACAAACGACACATCCACCCATCTTCGTCATCCCGCTTGAAGATTACATGGCGCGGGTTTCTTTCTGTGTCTAATAGTTGTCTGGTGTGCATTGCTTATGCGTCCATTCCTCGTGCGCGTACAACTGCGGTTCCAAATTGTTTCTTTGGGGGAACCAGCACGGCCTGCTGTAGGCTGGTTGCCGTTTCGTTTCCTTGCACCACGCAACTAATCACTGG